GAAAAGAAAATGTAAGAAATGGTCCAAAAATCACATTTTTGAGCTGCTGTCCCGCACAGTCCCGCACGTGCGCCGCTATCCCCACACGTGCGGACTTGCTTCCAGCACAGATGTGAAAACTTCAAATGGGTGTAACTCTCTCATCCGGACTCCATTTTAAGTCGTTCTTGTGTCCAAATTGAAGCCCCGGAAAAAAGCTTTCCAATGGTTCTAGCCTCACATCTAAATTCAAAGTATGGAAAAAGAAAAAGGCAAAAGCGTGACGGCTGATCGTAGGCGAAGTGTTCGAATCAAAGTTTTTGGTCTAATCTTACTTTACCATCATGTAAATAGGAGCTATAACATAAATCAATCTTCATACAATTTGGACCTTTGATCTTAACTCACAAACACAACTTAACTTCATAACATTCTCATCTTCACATACATAGACATATATACACACATGATCATTTAGCTACATGAGTTCAAGAAACATGATTCTAATTAATCATTCACCACATACTTGTTCAACAGATAGACATCCTTAAACATGGGATTCACTTACGTAACCGTAATTCCACATGGAATTTCGCAATAAGCATATAAATATACAGAATAAGGGAACTGAAAGTATACCAGAATCATAGATGAGGGTCGGGTTATTACAGAATGAATAAATGCTTGTTGTTTCTAAATGTTTAATTAGCATGTTTGTGTTATATTCTTATTTTTCCATATCTTGTATGCTTAATATTGTGCTATATACTCTGCTCATATGTATTTATATTGTGTTATATACTCCCCCATATGTAAACTCTTGTACGCTTATGCTTGAATGTGACACTTTAAAAACACTCATAACGAGAAACATTGCCGAGTTGGTAATTGGTGATGTTCACATTAATGTTTCGGAATGGCTATTGAAATGATTATGTATGGAATAGATTGAAATGGATAATGTTATCAAAATATGCTAAGTTTTGCACAAGTGATTGTATCGTAGCCCTAGAACAAATCAGTTGTATTCGGACTCTATGCGGCGGTTTAATTTCGCAGGGTGTTGGCCATTGTTTTTGTCGTCCCTTTTGAGGTCCTCGATTGGTGCTACACGGTATATAATCGGGGTAGGCATCCAGGGTAAAGTCTGCAAAGCAACAATGGGGGGAGTACCAAATAATCCGAGTTCAATCATTACGGTTGGGAGGATGAATCTCTTGGGGGATTGTAGTGGTCTACTAACTTTAATTGTACTAAATCTGCCATTATATTACTATTATCCACTTTAAGTGGTTATTTTATGGTTTATCTTTTACTTGTGAATGGATCGGTTATTATATGGTCTCTGGTTGGGCAAGCTGTCAAGTTGCTTTTATCCTCAATTGTTGGATTTTTGTCTTACAGACAGCTCAGATCATGTCAGATGCTAGTGGCTAACTTGCCAATCATTGTATTCGTCGGATCAAGTTGATCAGACAACCTTACCGTCTATTAGGCCTGGGTTGTGCTGCATTTATTGTCCTGTGTTTCTAGTCATTGGATGAAACTTAATCCAATGCCCCTTTTTCATTATGCAAATCTTCCATCTAAAGAGTTCGCTTGGGCCTTTCCTTCCTTTTGTGTTGGTGTTTCATTGATTTGGGCTCGAGCTAATATTTTATCCATCCACAATAGGTATACATAAAGTGTCTAAATTACCATTTTCATTGAATTTAATGACTAAAATATTTTTTTTAATCGATTTTATTTAATAGAAATAGGCAAATAGTTTAGATTGAAAATAAATCAAAAGTTTAGGATTTAAATTGATAAAATTAAAAATTCAGCATTTATTTTGTTATAAAATTCAAACCTTTATGGGTTTTCTTTTTATTTCCCATATATTTTTTTATAAAATTGGGAGATTCTTCGCAAAGTATGCCCTAAAATAAGAAAAAATAGTATTTGTTTGAAAAACATTGCTAATAAAAGCCTAGAGTTAGGAAAGAAAATTTTCAGATGGACTAAATCCATTTTAAACTCCCTTTTCTTTACGTGCATGCGTGTACATATAAATATATATATATATATACATAAAAAGTTAGAAACGTGAATATTAACACTTTAAATAAATAAAGATATAAATAACAAGTGTTAAAATTATAAATGTGATTAGTCACACTTAAAATTATAACATCAAGGTTGCAAGTATCAAACTTTATACTTACAGTCAAATAAGCTTATTACAATACTGACATCTTTAAATCATTAGTATAACTATTTATATTTTTATACTGAAATTACAAAAATCATCCAATAAAAAAAGATATTTTTATCCAAAAATCCTCTATATATGACTTATAAACCACTAAATCTTTTATATATCCTTATTATATTCTTAGAGGCAGAGAAGTCATATCATCGTCAATCGACCAAAAAATTCATGGGTATACTTTCTTATTGAAAATTAGTTATTCTAATTGACTTTTTAAACTTTTTATAAAGATATGCTGGAAAATGAAGAAAATAATTGACTTTTTAATAGTAATTTTTAAAATTTTTGATTATTTTAATATGTTTTCAAACTTTTCTACTAATTTTTTATAACAAATAAAAATATATATATCATGAGATAAATTTTTCTCTTCCTACTTTTCCTTTAAATTTTACTCTTCCTACTTTTCCTTGAAATTTCGACTCAATTTTGAAAGGAATGTGAGAACTCAACCCACTCCTTACACAACCACTCAATTTATTTCCCTTCACTCCTTACAAAGTAACAAGGCATAGTAATAAACTAAGGGCTGTTTGTTTCACTGGATATAATATAGAAGATATATTATGATATGAGATTTAGTCAGGATATATAATTAATAGGATATAGGTATTGGATAATATATCCTCAATTCATATTTGTTGACTTGATATATAAGATTGGATATATATTATCCATGTTTGTTTTACAAAATATATTGTGGGATATAAATAAGTAATTTTCATGATTGCCCTCATAATATTATATTATATTATATTCAAAATTTATATTAAATAATATTATATTATATTAAATTCAAAATTTATATTAAATTACCTTCTTTTAAATTCATAAATAATATAAAAAGTACAATTATGACATTGATATTCTCAAAAAAGTGTACTATCAAAGGGTAATTTTGGAAAACTAACTTTTTAAAAGTACAATAATTGTACTACCAAAAAAAGTTGGATTCCCCAAAAGGGACCATTATTTTGGGACGGATGGAGTATTAAATTATATTATGTTAGACAAAAAGGTAAATTGGACTTTTTAAATCATATCCCAACCAAGGGGATATGATATAATGGGGTGGGGGAGTGGTGGTATTATATATCCTCCACTTTTGGGAAATATACAATCCTGTAACCCCTTTGAAAAAAAATTACAAACATAAGATATGTAGACCCCACAGGATATAATATCAAATCCTACTCTTTATATCCTAGAATCAAACAGGGCATAATGTCCTATTTCGTTCATGGAAATGATATGAAATGAAATAAAATCATAATTTCTTAAGTTTTCTTATAGAATGGTCATTCTATTATAAAAAAAAGAAGTTAAAAGACGATTTAATTTGTAATGTATTTATTATTTTTTAAGTCTAACCAAACATAAAAACAAAAAATTTAATAAAATAATAATTCCATTTCACTTTATTTCAATAAACCAAACACTAAGGCCTTGTTTGGTTTGTGTTTCTCAAAAAAATTTGAGAAAAATTCTCCACAAATAAGTTTTCAAAAGTAATCAAACCAAACAAATTTTCCCAAAAAAAATTTTCAAAACTTGTTGGGTTTACAAATTTTCCAAACAAATCTCTCTCATACACATCAAATCAATCACTTTTTTCAAAACTCTCTCAAAATAATTTTTCAAAGCATCTTTTGAAAAAAAAAATCAAACCAAACAAATTTTCGTACTTTTTATCTCAACACATGTTTCTCAAATACAAACCAAACAAGGCCTAACTCTTTCCTTCCAAATGGAACTTTTAGTGTGACCCAGCTGACATGCTAAAACAAGCCTGGCATAATATAGCTTCTTCCTTCCTTGGAGTATCCCTCCATCTCCTCAATAGAACACACAAGCAGCTATTAAATTGAACTTACGACCCGATATAACTAGCTTGTTCTTGGTCATAATTCTTTCTCGTTACTTGGGAAACAAGACGCCAAAAAAAAAAAAAGAGTAGCAGATAGTACAGTTAAATATTATATAGCTCATATAAGAAACAAAACCAGTGACTGGAAAATGCTACAATGTCAGTCTCAGTTACATTGCCCATGGGTTTCATAGCACAGCTAGATCTCAAAGGTAGTGCTCGCAGCACAAGCGAAACTATGCATAACAACCAGAGAACCAAAACATCTTCATACTCCTGATTTGCGCAACTCGGCAGCTCCATGTGCAAAGTGGCATCTTTCTCCAAATGTGCAGGAGCCCTTTGCAAAATTTTCACACATCTTCGTCTTGTAGTTGCTTGCTGCTGGATGGGATGAGGCTGGGGCTCCAGGGGTCTTTGCATGGCCACCCATTGAACCAACACTCACAATTAACTCTCTTACCATGGAACTTGCTTGCTTGATCTGATCAAATGTACCCTCAAGTTCAATGTTTCTAAGATTTGCATCTGATTCATGGTCTCGAATAGATAGCTTCACCCCTGTTTGGCGACAGATCTGCTTGGAGTTCACACCACCCTTTCCTATGATTGCTCCAGCAAGAGAAGCATCTACACTAATTTTGGCAGTGGCTGAGTCACCAAAGCCAGTGACAGGAGCTGGTGCAGGTGGCTCTATCCGGCCTGGAAAACGGCTTAGAATAGCTCCCATGGCACGAGAATCATCCTGTGATGGAGCAACAGGCTTGCCAAGTTCCCACTCACCATGGGCAAAATGGCATTTGTCACCAAACTTGCAGCCTTCGGCAGTATTATATTTGTTGCACATTCGGGTTTTCACACCAGATGGGGAAGAACCATCTGGGATGGGAGGAGGTGCAGCCATGTTTCTTGAAACAGGAGCTGGAGCCAGGTTCATCATCTGTGCAACAGCATTATACCCACCAGGCACATAGTGAAGGAAGTGGCAGTTCTCCCCAAATGGACAGCCAGCAGTGCTGCAATCCATAACATGAACCAAAATCAGATCACACACAACAAGACATTGAATCCCATGGACAAACCCCAAGGGTTGGATGAGTTGCTCTGGTTAAGTGAATGAGTAGAAGTAGGCAAGGATCAATTTTGCACATTTAAATATAGAGCAAACTTCACTTTACTCCCTTGTAGTTTGGGCCGGGTGCGGATTACCCCCCTGACATTCGGAAATCACCACATAACCCTCACGTGGTTTGTAGACTAAGACGCACACTAACTTCTGTTAACCAAACGTGTAAATTTACCTTTATACCCCCATCTTTTTCTTCTCTCTTTTAAACCTACAAATATACATATACATATATATATATATATATGTATATACACACAGACAGAAAAGAAGAAGAGAAATTTTTGTTATGTTAAAAAATGCTGCCATAGAACTAGGGAAAACACTCATTTTCAACCTTCTGTTTTGTTACTTATGTGACTTATCTACATCTCTGAGTTTGGTCATGTCAATGAAGAGAAGAGCCATTGGAAAGGGTTTTATTTTACAAGGAAAATATGAAGTTACAAAAAATCAAAGAGAGGACTTGGTTGCGCTGCGTTATGTTTATTGTCATGCACAAATGTTGTTTGGTAATTTTGTTTTGGTTTATTGAAAAAAAAAAATTGGAACTTATTTTCAGTAGCTAAAATCACAAAATTGACTTTTTTTGAAGAACTCAAACTCCATTTAGAACACTGTCAATTAAAAAGATAAACAATTAACTACCAAAACAGCAAGAGACAAATTTCTGGTTTACTCTGCCAAAATGTTTTCGAAAAGCAATCAAACAAATAGGTGCTTACTCACTGCTTGTCTCTCTCGCTTAAGAACTTTTGCTACAAATTTGGGTAAAGAAACTGAAATGAACCATCCAATTAGGACAAACAATAGCAACCAAGATGGGTATGGGTTTGGATTTGTATACGTGTACTTGGTTTGTATATGATCACAAAAATGGGTTTGAATTTGTGGATTTGTTTACAACAAAAAAGATCTCTCTCCATAGTAGAGACCCATATTGGATTGGCCGAAGATCATGAACACTCTTGATCTAGAGTTGGAGCCCATTGATGGAGATGGAGCATCTTGAATCAAAAAGCATCTTTAGCAGCTTGATATCACCATTTTCTTTGTTGTAAAGGAAGAATGGCAAGCTTTTGTAAATTTAAAGATGTGGGGGGGGAGGGGAGGGGGGGTATTTTGGTCATAAAACATAGCTTATACTCTCTTCATGGGCATGTGAACCTCATAGCCCGTTAATTTGGATGGAAAAGCTAACTGTGCGTTTTAGTGCACAAACCACGTGAGAGTTATGTGGTAATTTTCGAATGTCGGGGAGTAATCCGCACCCGGCCCAAACCACAGGGGGATAAAGTGAAGTTTGCCCTTAAATATATAGGAACACAATCAAGCTTTGCAAAATGCAAAATTCAATGAAAGCATAAATGAGCAAAATTGATGAGCTCCACAAGTTTGTATGGTTTAGACATGTAAGAAAATAAATTAAGCATCTTTTGGCTGCAAGACGATATAGAAGAACATAGACAAAACCAAGCAAATAAGGAAAATGGAGGCAAAAAGCAACCTGATAAAAAAATAAAAAGAAGCATGCATCGTTCAAACATCTGATTATAATGGGTGAAAACCTTTCAGCTGCTCGCTTGATGGGCTATTCAAAACCATAATCAGATCAGAGTACAGAACCAAGCAAAAACTGACATTCCCCCAGATAGATAGTAATGGAGCCAAGATTTTGGCTCAGGAGTTGAAACCCAATTGAGATTATTACAATCAACTGAACCAGATTATTATTTGCCAAAGCTACATGTTACTTATATGGTGAAGTTAAACAATCAATTTTTTCACTGATTTTCTTTCTTTCTTTTTTTCTTTTTTTTTTAAATTTTTAATTCGACTTTCAATTTTAGTTTCTAAACATGGTGGTCACCATAATTTAAAATGCAATCACTATGCCTCTATAAAAATAAAAATAAAAAAATTAAAGACAAAATTATACCAAGATACACACACGAAAGAAAGGTAAAAAGGGTAGGGACAGAAATGACAGAGAAGAGAGAGACATAAAATAAAATTTATAAGAGAAGATTTTAGTAAAATTAAACAATTAAAGTGACTAATTACATGGATTTTGTTATAAAATTAAAAAAATAAAAATAAAAAGAAGAGAAGAAGAAGAAGAAGAAGAAGAAGAAAGAAAGAAAGAAAGAAAGACAGAAAGAAAGAAAAAGGTATAAAAATTTACAGGTTATTCTTGAAACCTAAAAAGAACAAATTTAAAAAAAATAAAAGTAAAAATAATTGAGGGGCTTTGACCCCTCCTAGCCTTAATTAGAGATGGCAATCGGAACCCGGCCCGACGGGAACCCGACCCCCTGACCCCGAATTGAGCGATTATTCCCCGAAAAATACCCCCGACAAGCCGGGGATGGTTTTTAAAAATGTATCCCCGATGATGTTCGGGCCAGTGACGGGGATATATGTTTCAGTCCCGGACCCGGCCCGACCCCGATCCCCGATCCCCACCCCGTATATACCTCGATGTGAAATTACTATTTTGCCCCTCCTTATATATATGTGCGCGTATTAGGGTTTGGTTGAAACACTCTGCTCTCATCTCACACACAAAACACGTTGCTCTCTCTCTCTCTCTCCGCCGTTGCCATTGCCATTGCCAAGAGCTTAGGGTTTCGCCTCCCCCTCTCTCTCTCTCACACAACGAACGACGGCTAACACTCGTATGTCACCGCCAATCCTCCCTCACCGCTGCTCGTTGCTCACCGCCGATCATCCTCCCTCACTGTGGTGTAGTGGGTTAGTGGGTTAGGTTTAGTGGAGTAGGTTTAAGTGGGTGAAGTAGGTGGAGAGTAGGTGGATTTTAACATTATATATATGTGCGCGTATTAGGGTTTGGTTGAAACACTTTGCTCTCATCTCACACACAAAACACGCTGCTCTCTCTCTCTCTCTCCGCCGTTGCCATTGCCATTGCCAAGAGCTTAGGGTTTCGCCTCCCCCTCTCTCTCTCTCCCACAACGAACGACGGCTAACACTCGTATGTCACCGCCAATCCTCCCTCACCGCTGCTTGTTGCTCACCGCCGATCATCCTCCCTCACTGCTGCTCTCTCTCTCTCTCTCTCCGCCGTTGCTAAGAACTTTGGGGTTTCGCCTTCCCCTCTCTCTTTCACACAACTAACGACGGTTGCCGCTCCTCCGTCACCGTAGATCCTCCCTCGCCGTTGCTCGTACCTCCCCACCGATCATCCTCCCTCACCGCTGCCTCACCGCCAAACATCCTCCCTCACCTCTGCTGTTTAGGATATCTCTTTCTCTTTCACTCTAGGAATTTCAATCTACTAGGGAGTTCATATTGACAGATTAGCTTGACAAATTATGTTGATAGAATCTCTTAATGGTTGTATTGTCAAGATTACAGATTATGCTATGTTTTTGAAAATATGTATAGATTTTTTAATTTTAAAATAAGTATTGATTATTTGAAATATGTACAAATTCTTTTAATTTTAAAATATGCACAGATTCTATTAAAGGATGTTTAAAATTTTTTTTGATAATGTTGTTGGACAATGGGTCTCATATTTGTAGTTGATTCAAGTTGAAGCAGAGACCATGAAAAGGAGAAGGTTTAAAATATGTACAGATTCCTTCCTTTAATGTTTGAAAAAAAAAAAACTGTAAATTGGGGAATCTGCGAGGTCGGGGATACCCGATCCCCGATCGGGGGTAGGGCTGGGAGGGGGGAGCGATGGGATCCCCGGTGGGGATCGGGGCTGGGGACGGGGAATTTCTCACGATCGGGGATCGGGGCCGGGGAGTGCGATCCCCGGCCCCGCCCCGCCCCGCCCCGTTGCCATTCCTAGCCTTAATGTGGCTCCGCCACTGCAAATAGATAAAACTAGCAAGTTGGCCATGCAAGCATGCAAGGGGAAACAAAAAAAATTGCACATTGCTGTCAGTTTTGCTTTTTCTTTTTCCACAGCAGAATTGATATGCCTTAAATTCACACTGCAGCCACGTCTTTAAACAAGACTAATTACTTAGTTTCAGATCCTTGTTCTATTTTTACTTGTGCATCTCCCCTACAAGCAGGCATGAAATTGAGAATCCAACGCAGTCTTCTGTTTTTTACTTCATTTTGGGCTTATGTGTCTCCCCCAATCAAAGTGATCCCCTCTTTTCGATTTCCATTGATTGGGTTGCCCATTTGTCAGGCCTAGTCTTAGGGATGTTTACTTATTCGATCTTTTAGTTAGTTTTTGTATCCCTCGCTGTATGAGGACATCTTGTCCTCCCTTCGTTATTGTTTTTCTCTTTTCAATAAAATATCTTTTGTTGCTTCTATAAGTAAAATAAAAAAAGAGATGAATTACTTGGTTCAGATCCTCATTCTATTTTGCTTGTGCATCGAACTACAAGGCAGCCTGAAATTGAGAGTCTAAAGCATTCTTCTTTTTTAACTTTTGTTTAGGGGTTGGGAACTTAATCATAGGCTACAGCTAGCATAGCTGAGTTGGTTGAATATAATTGACGGTAAATTACAGTTAGCATCCCTACACTTTCACCAAAATCTCACTTTGACCCCCCACTTTCAACTGTGACATTCAACCACTTACACTTCAAGTCAAATTGCAGTGTCACTATTCCACCAATCTACCATTAATGAGGGTGGCAGAAAAAAAATTTAATTTCTTTTTTTTTTAAAAAGGACCAAAGTGAAATTTTGATGAAAGTACGACGACTAAAGTGAGGTTTTGATAAAGTGTAGGGATGCCAATGAGATGGACACAAGGATAATATTGTAACTTAACTTAAAAGGTAAGAGCATCCCTAGCAGTCTCCCTAAACCCACCCCTTACCTATTTTAAGGGATTGAAATCCCAAAATATACCTCCATCAGCTCCCCTAAACAACCCCCTAAATATAAGTGTTGCTAAATATAAGTGTTGCTACAGTGACTCCCTATTTGTGGGGAGTCATTGTAGCTCCCTTATATCTAATAAAAGACGTGCAGGGAAGTCTTTCCGAACGTCCGGGACGTAAGCCCGGATGTCTTGTGATTGCCCTGTAGCTGAAGAAAAAAAACACAAAATTGGCTTGACCGGTAGACCAGCCAGTTGACCTGCCGGTCGACTGGTCTGCTTTCCATGTGCTGCTGCTTTGCTTTCATAATAATTAAAAATATTATTTTAATAAAATAGAGAAAGAATAGGGAGTTTGTTGGGGGAGGTAAATGAAAAAGTGATTCTCAAAATAGGAAATGAATTTTTTAATAATATTTTAGGGTAAAATTTAAGTAAACTGCTGGGATGCTCTAAGGGCTTAACTAACAATAAAAGTTTAGGGATCAAAATGACATTTCGGTAAAAATGCAGGCGTGCTAACTATAAGTAACTCTATAATTAATTATGTATGTATAACCATATCATATGCGAAGACACCCGAAAACAAGGTAAAAAAGTCAGGTTGCTGGTGATAACTTTGAAGGTTTTGAACATTATGAGAGAATTATCTCAAGAATGAACAATTGACGATGAGAATCAAATCCAAACAAACTTGCAGGAACTTTTAACCTGGGAACCACACCAAAATATTTTACATCGCTCTGGAAAGGATAGCCATTGATTCCCACCAAAGAAAATCAAGTCCAAGGAGAAAACTTTGCTTGATCTCCTGCAATCACCATAGTGGATTCCTTCCATTCCTTGATATTCCATTGTATCTCAGATGAACATCCAATTTTATGTCTTCGTAGAGAATGAAATATTTTTTATAGATTTTTATTCCCTATGAGGATTAATAAACAATCAAAATTAACAAAAACCAACACTAATTCAATATATTAAGAAATTAAAAACACTCCTTTAAGTTAACTCTTATCATTTATATCTTTTTTATGGATGATCTATTAATTACTTAAAACTAAGCGAAAGGTAATAAGCATTCAACGTCCAACATCTATCAAAAGCCCTAAAAGGGGGGGGGGGGGGGGGGGGGAACTACTAGTTGGTGTGTCCCTGACATGTTCCTGCCATGTCCCCTAAAAACAAATTAATTAAACTACAACATGTCCCTGTGTTCGACATGGCTATGGCACATGGCTATGGCACCTATGTTGGAGTATCGGAGCTTCATAGGCCATACACTTCTAAGGGGGAAAAAAACTACTCTTCTACAGTATCCAGTCCTTTCTTCCAAAGCCAATCCTAACACAGTCTCTTAGTATAGCCTAAAAAATTATAGAGTCCTATGCAATGTCTTTGAAGTGTTACTCCACAAGACAAGCAATACAAGATTAGTTCCTCCAAAGTAGCAATATGTACAAATCTGATAAAGAATCACATTGAACATTTAAACATTTATGGAGGAATTACAACACAATGGCACAGAGAAAAAAATTATAAAAACATGTGGGGTGCAAGTTATTCTGTGGTGACTTGCACCCCTCTATCTTTGTGTAAAAAAAAAAAATTTGTTTCATTGTGAGGTAATTATCCCAACACTTATTAGGTTTTAAAAACACCAAATTAAGCTAACATTAGGTGCAGAAGGTTGTACCCAATGCATGAGGCTCCTGCTTTTGGGAGAGGGAGATAGGCAGCCTTACCCCAACTTTTTCATGAAGAAACTAATTCCCAATAATAATAAAGCTAGACAAGGATTTATCATATACAAAGTAATGGCAACGGTATCTCAGCTTCTTTAAGGCAAAGATAAAGTTCAATTTGTTACATTATTTAGGACTAAAGAGAATCTTTTAAGAGAGCAATAGTATCCCACATTCAACAGAGGAAATGGTGGGAAAAGCAATGAGCAGCAGTGACAAACACGTACTCCAATATGTTGAATGACAGCTTTTGTTTCCCAAAAGAGTTTATGCTAATGGAAGTCCAATTAAACAAATATATATTTCATATTCAAACTAAAAATTACCAAAACAAAATAAATTTTCCATTTAAGTTGAACCTACAAATTACACAAAAATTAAATTTTACATTCGACCTACAAATTACCTAGGAATCACATCTTTTCAAATTTTAAATAGCTATTACAAGTACTTTAATCAACATCATAAGCTTAGTAAATGTCAGAAGGTCCATTCATGTGAAGGTGTTCAATTTCCAAAAACTTGAATTATGCAAAATTAATATAACTTGAACCTCCGACAATTTAACTGTTTATATTTTTATAACTGAGTTAACCTCTATTAACTAACAGTTTTTTTTGAGGAACTAAAATTTATCATGCTGAGTGACTTGATACTTCTATCAATAAATAATTAACAAATTTCTAAGAAACTTGTCTGATTATATTATTACCAGAAAATACACAGGTATGTCATCTATAAATGATTAGCAATGCTTTTTTGTAACTAATAACAAATGGTAATTAGAACAATGCCTTTTTGGGGGTGAAAAAAAGGTTCCTAACCCTAGGAAGTATGTACGTATCCACATGTTGTGTTGAAAATCATGGACTTGTGAGCAAGTTCTCACCTCAATGAAATCAAAGAGAAATTTATTACTAAATAATTTTGTTAATTAATATTTTTTAGATCTCCCATATCACAAGGCTTTTTAAATCTCCTAATATTATTATGTTTTCAGAGGGTCAACATATATATATATCTCATACACAAAAAAGTAGTATGATTAATAATTAGGGAAAAATCCATTTAACCTCCCTATGGTATAACCCAATAGCACTTAACACCCACCCCCCACCCCTTACATTCAAAAATAGATAATGAACCCCCATGTGGTTTGTCATTTTGCATTCTACTTCCTTACCGCCATAAATTGGGTCCAAACTAACAGAATATATACTACACACACATCAATTGAGAGTAGAAATTAAAAGCCTTAATGTTAAAGTCAAAATACACTATGATAAGAAGACAAATATACCCTTCATCTTCTTCCCCCAAAAAAACATGACTCAAACTTTAACCCTTTCTTCCTCCAAAAACCTAACACTCTTCCACTTCCAGCCACCTCTTACAAGCACCAGCCACCTCTACCACCACTAGACACATCCTCACCACCTCGTCACTCCCAACCACCATTAGACACCATTCCAACCATTCCCTACCACCACTAGATAACTCCCCTGCTTACCCTTACCACCACCAAATATCTCCCCCGCCACCATTAAAAATTAGTGATTACTTAATGAAAATCACCACCAAAACTGGTTGAAAACTGCTGAATGAATATAGAAAATCCATGATTGCTCAATGGAAAATCAATGAGTGATTTTTTTTATTAGCAAATCAATCATACATGGAACATCAATGAGTTGATCTGTGTTGTTGATATCAACTTCAATGCGTTGATAATATATGTGCAGCAGTGTGATGATTACTTAATGGATTAGTGTATTGAAATAAGGTTAAATTAATTAGGTTAAAAAATAACAATTACGGGTATTTTTGTTAATATGTGATATAATTAGTTAATACTTAAAAATTTTAAAATTATATGTAAAAAGTGAAATTGGAGGGAGGGGGGGAGAGAGAGAGAGAGAAGATAGTAGAAGGGCATTAAGATCATTTTTCATCTTTTGTTAATGGAGTTAGTGTTGCCTTTTAATCCAAAAGCATATGGGGCCTCTTTGGATATTTTTGGACAAGGGGGTAAAGTGCTCATGAATCAAACCCCAAGGGGGTGATATAGATTTTTCCCTAATAATTAAAAAGCACAAACGAGACTTCAACAACACAGAACTACATATTTGATGCAAATTGTGCATGGAACTCATAATTGAATGACCATGAACAACCCAATCCACCCCCCTCCCCATCACCACAAAACTACATATTTCATGTAAATTTGCATGGAACTCACAATTGAAGGACCATGAACAAGCTAATCCACCCCCTCCCTCTCCCCAAAATAAAACAAGGGAGAAGTAGCAATTGTGTTTCAAACAATTCTTTTGTTTGTTTGTTTGTTTTTTTTTTTTTTTTTTTTTTTTTTTTTGATAGATAACAATTCTAAAAACAATAATAATAAAGAAAGAAAGAAAAAATTAAACCCCAACACGTAAGATGATATAATGTTGCTAATGAACAAAGAATATCAATGCAGGATAATAGTCACACCATTTCAATGTTTAAGAAGGATACATGACTTCATGAAGATTTGCACTGGTAGAGATATTTGCTAGAAGGCATTGATATTTCTAGCCTATCAACGCAATATTATTCTTTAAGCAATGATTTTTATACTAGACAGAAATGGAGGTGACAAACATACTAGGACAGCGACTGTGGTTCTGTATAACATGAAGTCCTAATTAATTCTTTAAATAGTAACTACAATACCATAGTAAGTCCTATGTTGGCCAATTATAGGAGTTTCAATGTTCTTAATCTAATCAATAATGGCTAAATTATAGCATTTATCCAATATATATATATAGGTAAATTATACCAATACCAATCTCCCAAAAGCGTAATAGGATGGCAAATCCATAAGCCAACAAATGGCCAACTAGCTGAAAAATGTTCCAATTATTAGAATGCATACCACATTCCAATACTAATACATAACGGTAAAAATCTATAAGACACCTTCATTCTCAACATCACCATCTTTGAGTCAACTAAAGTCGGGAAAAGGCTATTTCACTGTAGGTTGTTAAAAAAGAACAATCACTTTGGAAAACAAATTGAAAAGATGGCAAAGGCAAAAGGAAAAATAAACTTGTGTAACGGCTTTGATATTCCCAGTTCATTAATGCCATTACATAGTTTTTCTTTGTGACAATAGTAGAGAAGATTCTCAGTACAAAGTATACAATTAATAAATACTATATACTTACCCAAAAAAAAAAAAAATACTATATACATGTTATGATATTATAATTTATATTAGATAGGTAAAGATTTGAACCTGAAAAACTTCATGCAAGGCTTCGATTTGCTTCCTATACCACTTGATAAGGAGTCCATTTCTGTTACAAAACATTAATTACTTTTTCCCAGTTAGAATTTCTGTGGATTCCTTCATTTGTACAATCTAGTGAATTACCTAACAGATGTTATGATTACATCTTACCAGTAAAAACTTCATTAGAAAAAGTTGCTTTAATATATTTGAAGCTATAAAAAAAAATGCAAAATTAAGATCTTTGAACTTCATAGTTATGGAAAAAGAAAAAGATAAGCTAAAGCTAAGTTATTTTCTCCACATGGGTCCACCGATTTCGACAGACACATTTGTTTCGTATTTCAATTTTATTTTTTTTTTATAAATTGTTTCATGTTTCAATAAATGGCAGTTTTAGTGGCCCAATTGCTATGAAAAAAATGATGAGGAATAATTTATATAGTTGCAAAAATAGATGTTTTGAACTCCAAATGTATATGTTAGTATATATGGGTACATATATAACTATACAAGTGAATAAACATATACATACAAGTACAAATGAATTTATATATATGCACATATATACATCTAAAGTGTGTATGCACAAATATGTAGACATGTTTACTTTTTTAACATATGACAATAGAGTATTCACTAAGAAATGACTTGGTTAACATTTTTAACATGAAAAAATAAAACACTTCATGTTGACAAAACTACTTTTTTAAAACATTTCATGTTGATGAAACTCTTTCTCACTTGTGAAAGCTTATATCAAAATGATAAAACTATATAAAAATGATAAGTGTATTTTCTACTTTTTTAACTTAAATGCCAACCAAACCCTAGAAAATGTTGAAAACATTTCATGTTCAAACAAAATAGAACATAGGACACCATTTGATTACTCAAGAAAGGTAGAAAATACTTCACTTATACACGCATAATTGAGTGAGTTTATCAACCATGCTAATTTTCATTATAAAAGAAAACAAGTAATTAGCTTCCATTGAAATAAGTGCACGGTTCATTGTGTCTTCACAGATAATTATTTTTTCACAGTAGCTAGTTTCAACATGAAATAGTCACAAAAATTATGGGTGTATTTGGTTTGTGTTTTGAAACATGTTATTTGGAAGAAAATTTTCAAAAATATGTTTGGTTACAAATTTTCTCAAAAAAATTTCAAAATTACTTTTACACATCAATTAATCACTTTTTCTCTCTCCTCTCTCCCTCTCAATCACTTTTACTCTCACACACATCTACTCCATTACAACAAAATATCAAATCATCCCTAACTCCCAAACTCCACAACTATTTTCAAAATATACAACCAAAAGAAACAAAACAAAACAAAACAAAAACAAAAACAAAAAAAAATTAACTCCCCCCCAAATTTTTTTTTTAAAATTTATCTTAAAACACAAACCAAACATACCCTATATTTCTTTGCATTTATGGCTCACTTTGAGTGTTATAAATTTTAGAGTTTGTTTGTAGTTTAAAATAATTATTGCCCAAAATCAACCAAAACGTCGAATACAACCCTTTATTCATGTCCGCCATTTGCTTAGGTTTTGTTGTTCTTCTGATTATTATTATAATAGTTAATATAAATACAAAGGGATACAACAAACCCTTCAGTCATTTCAGTGAATGGGGCATGTTAGGTTTATTTTTGTAATTGAAAATTAAGGAAGTTGCTTACTTCAATCCAGTAGAAAACCCCAATTGACAAGAGGGGAAAAAAATTCAAGTTTCAACGGGGACAAAAAAAAAAACATAAACCCCTAGAAAAAGCACAATCAAAGAAATACTGTTAAAGACCATAAGTGACAAAAGAACGGAAAATAATATAGAAAAGAGAACACATAAACATATTCTAACACCAAGCCCAACTTGGGGGTAGGCCATCAAGGCAACTGCATTGGGTCCCCAAGTTTTGTATAAAAATGGGGGCCACAATTCATATATGCCTTCATAGTAGTATCAGAAAAATTAAAAAAACAAAATAAACAAAAGCATGACCAATCTAACTATTAATTCTGCCTCTGATTTTGTATAAATTAAGTGCTTGTTTGGCATCATCTAAAAAAGTCAAAAAGCCAAAAAGTCACTAAAAAAGCCAAAAAAATTTATACTATTCACAATGTTTGGGCAGCAAAATGGAGTTGAGTACTCATAGGGCAAAAAGATATTTTCGCCCTTCACTGACATGCATAGCTCATGGCTGTTTAAAGGGGGGGGGGGGAAGGGGGGGGGGGGAAATGGTCAAACAATGCACCAGTGTAGCTCAGTGCACTATGAGAGAGGGGAAGTGACAAGTGTTCAGTGCACTATCAGAAGAGTAGGAAGGTAATTTTGGTATTTCATACAATATTTTAATACACATTTTTTGTAAAAAGTCTAAAAGTTATCCTAAACAACTATCTTTTTTTCTCTATTTTTTTAGCCAAAAAGTCAAAAAGTGCACTTATATAGTTCATCCCGAACAACCCCTAAAGAACCCCAAACAATTCGGAGGAAAATAGAATATATTAGCATTGACATATTCCCAGTTTCAATATTTCTTCTTCCTAATCCTTGTTGCGTCTGGCTGTAAGCGAGAAGATGGCGTCAAGCGATTTCTTCAGTGTCTGATGAAGTCCTATCTTTATTTCTTTTACGCATTTTAATTGAAGAACTTTTACATTTTCCATTTCATTACAATTAAATCGGTCAAAGAAAACTACTACATTTCATCATGAAAGGAGTACAGGGTAAAGGAAATATACAAATGAAAACATTTCTGACGCCTAAAGAAAACCAGATGTTATAAAAGTAGTTCCATTGGATGGGAAGTTGTTTATTGTTTATAGGTAGGGGAGATAAACGAACCAAACAACTTGAGCTCGACTTGTGTTCAGCTTGTTAAAAAGTTCATTCAAGCTTAATTCATTAAATAAACAATTTGGGAGTTCGTTAAAGTTTTCAAACCAAGCTTTGAATAGCCGATTGCTCGTTCAGCTAAGTTCAATAAGCCTAAAACTATATAAAAATACCAAACTACTCGAGCTCGAGCTCGAGCTCAAGCTCGACAAAAGCTTGCTGGGGATCAGCTCAAAAGTTTAATGAACTAAACTTGAAGATATTTTGAAACTTGTTTAACTTATCAAACCAAGCTTGACCAGTTAATTTTTTGGCTCATTCGGCTCATTTATCACCCCTATTTATAGGTAATGAATAGGTGGTTGTTTAACCTCCAATTTGCAGAATATCTATATCTATATATATATATACATATTTATTTATTTTTGCGGTGCTCTTTGAACACCAGGTTTCAATCTTATTTTTTCTTTTTTTCTTTTTTTCTTTCTGAATCCATTGAATTCTTGGTGTGCTGTTTTGTTTTGCCCTACCTATTTTGGTTTCGATCATTGCAGATATATGGGTTCATTACATAATCTGTGGTTGTGGATCGAATTTTTTGTGGTGGGCATTGAATTTTTTGTGGTTTGTGGTTAGTATAGTTCTGGATACGAAAGGGAGGAAAACAAACAAACAAACAACCAAACAACCAAAGGCAAAAAGCAAAAGGTAGTAAAATTAACCAAATCTCAAGCGGGAGCTCTTGATTTCCCCTTTTTTTTAGTTGTAAATATATAAAAAGGACCCATCCAAAGAGATATAAACTCAGGGCCACCTTATGCAAACCAGTGACTTGGATATAAACTCACAAATACTATGAACAACATGACGGTATAAAGAAACACGAGCACAGAGTCTCTCCAAAACAAAATCACCCATAATAGAGCAAAATTAAACTCACACCAAAACTCCTACACACACATATCTACATAATATCCATACAGGCCTACACGTGTATATTTTTGTGTGTGCGTTTTTTAGAGAGACACCCAGATTTCAAGGGGGAAAAAAAACAAAAACGAACCTTGCTTGGATTTCTTCACACCGCCATTGGAGTTGAAGCGCGCAACAGGCCTAGCTCTCTTGCGAGTATCCATAGCAGCTTAACAGACAGATCGAGATCCGAAACAATCAACAAACAAAGATTTGAAGAGTGAGAGAGAGAGAAATCAAAACAATTGGCCCTGAAAGTAAAGAAAACCAGAAGCCCTAGTGTGCTACAACAAAAATCTATGGTGGAGGCAAAAACCCTAGCAGGGTTTTGCACAGAACGACCTCGACAGGAGAGAGCAAAACACGAGGAGTAAAACTTTTTTTTTTAAGTAAAGTTTCAAGACACCATAAAAAGTGTTCACTTTATAATTTTGTGTATATATATATATATAGAGGGCTCACAAATCAGAGTTGAAATCTAGTTGACAGCGTGAATTGGATTCCGCGGATACAACGTCACCACCACACCCACGGAAAAATTATTACGCGGTGCAGGGTCAACATGTCTCCCTACCCCCACTCACCCATCATGACGGTCTGGTTTCACATCTGGTTTGACAACTATTTAGCATGCGTGGTTATCATTTTTTAAAAATATTTTTTTGAGTTGAAATCTAGTTGACAGCGTGAATTGGATTCCGCGGATACAACGTCACCACCACCCCCACGGAAAAATTATTACGCGGTGCAGGGTCAACATGTCTCCCTACCCCCACTCACCCATCATGACGGTCTGGTTTCACATCTGGTTTCACAACTATTTAGCATGTTTGGTTATCATTTTTTAAAAATATTTTTTAAAAAATTTTACTTTATTATTTTTGCGTGTTTTTTTGTTTTTATTGAATTTTTTTAATATTTTGAGCAATTTTTTTAATTTTTAAACATACCTAACATAAATATACCTAAAAAGTAAAAAAAAAATTGAAAATTTTTTTTTAAAAATTCACTAAATAACAAAAATACAAAAAAATACGAGAATTCAGTACATTTTTTACATTTTTATGTATTTATTAATTTTTAAAAATATTTTTTCACAAATTTTTTACTTTTCAGATACATCTAAGTAAAGTGCATCTAAAAAAGTAAAAAAAATGTTTTAAATTTTAAAAATATTCACTAAAAACAAAAAAAATGAAAACCAAAAAACTCAATTTTCAAAAAACTTAATTCAAAAAACTCAAACCAAACACACTGATTAGGTTTTGTCTATCGTAATCTAAAAAAGTTAAAAGATTAAAAAGTTATTATCTTATATAAGTCACATTATCTTATTTAAGTCACATTACATCTATATCATATCACTTCAAATCTTACTTATACACAATTTATATTTCATAAAAAGTTAAAAAGTAAACAATCCCTTAATTTGAATAAAAAAATCATTATTAATTATCATAATATTCTTTGTATTTTTTTATACATTTTTTATAAATAATTAAAAAATTATTAAAATAACTTATTTCTAAATGAAACTTAAATATTAAATGAAAAATTACCAGTTAATAGTTGTTTCAAAATTTTAGGGTTGGTTTGGGATGTCCTAAAAAAGTGCACTTTTTGACTTATTGGTAGGTTTGGGTTGGGTTTGATGTGATGTGTTAGAGAGGTGATGTGATTTAAATAAGATGATGTGACTTAAATAAGATAGTGACTTTTTGACTTTTTGACTTATTTAGTACATGCCAAACTAGCCCTAACTATTCATTCGTGATAAAAGTTCATATCTTTTTTTACATAACTAGCTCAACCGTGTTGTTGTTGGCAGAGAATAACATACACCACAATATATATATTATTAAGTTGTCTTTAGATAGTTTGAAGATTGTAATATCAATTAATAAATAGACTTGATTAGATACAAAATTGAGTTTGGGAGCGTTCAATTCAAATTAGGTATCATCTCTATGTAAGAAAAAAAATTGCAAATCAAAAAAATCACATGTTAGATTGTCTTGTTTGACAGAAGGCTTAACCATAAAAATATGTACCTTGTTTGAGCGTTGTTGTTCATTGGTTGCTTGCATGAGTGATTAAGTTCAATGGGTATAATCAAAGCAATTGTTAATTTCTTCATTGTGTTAACCACCTAAAAAATATTAAAATAATAAATCCAGCTAATACATATTCAGCTTGCCCATGTTTGATTTGATTTTTAAAAGCTTGTTTCAATTTTTTTAACTAAAAATTAATTTGATAAAATAAATAAAATATCAAAAATACTTATCACTTTTATATAATTTTATTTTTTGGGAAGTCAAAATTAATTTTTTAAAAATATTTTTTATATATTTATTTTTATCAAATTAGTTTCAACTTTTTCAATAAATTTTTTTTTTTTTTCTGAAAATAAGCCAAACCACCCCTTGTTTGTTACAAAATATCTCAATTAAAAACCAAGTATCTAGACAAACGTGTACCGAACAATAGTAACTTTGGTAGAAAGATATGGTGGCTTTTGGTTGGTTGAGCCAACATGTATACTCAATACGGGTGGCTAAATTTCAAAAAAGATAATATTTTTAAAATGATTTTTTGGAGAGAGTTTAGAAATTTTGAATTGTTTGATTATATATTTTGAAAATATTTTTGGAGTTTGGGATAATTTGATATTTTTTTGTAGTTAAATAGATGAGTGTGAGAGAAAAAAATGATTGAGAATGAGAGAGGACAGAGAAAAGTAATTGATTGATGTATAGTAGAAAAAAAAGTGATTTTGAAATTTTTTTTCTCCAAAATTTTCAATCAAACATGTTTTTAGAATTTTTCTCCAAAAACATATTTGAGAGACAAACCAAACATGTCCGTAATTTCTCATATGAATGAACACAAGCATATTCAATTGCTATAAATCTATAACTCATATATAAATCACAATAAAAACACTACAAAGCAAAAAAATAAAAAGACCATGCAATCTGAGACACAAAGCAGCCATACAAGCTATTGTTTAATTGTTAACTAACCTTGTCTTCACCTAAGGCCTCGTTTGTTTACAGAGGTAGAATGGAGGGGATTTATAGTGAAGGAATTAATAGTGAAGGGATTGTTAGTGAGGGGATTAAGTAAAATTGTGTTTGTTTTGATGATAGTTATTAGTATAGGAATTGTTAAATTATTTTTATATAAAATAATAAAACAAATAAAAAAATATAAAAATTAAACATTAATATTTATAAAAAAATTTCCAATATATAAAAAATAAAAATAAATAAAAAAATTTCTAATCCCCTCACTATTTTTCTAATACCATCTCCCCAACCTCCATCTCCCCAACCTCCATCTCAATCTCCTCCCCAACCTCCATCTATATCACCTCCACCATCCTAATCCCCTCCCTAACTCTACAAACAAACACAACACTAAATAACACATCCACCATCCTAATCCCCGCCCATCTACATAACCCAAAACAAACGAACCCTAAGGCTCTTCCTCAACTTCATGGTCAATAGGAATGGAGCTAATCACAATATAGAATCTTTTGCTCATCCGAACTATTATTTCCAATGGTTATGTGTATGTAAATTAAATGACTAAATAAAATAAACAACAAAATAAAAATAAATTAAATTCTGAATTAAATGCTTACATAAATTATAAGTCAAGACTTGTGTTGGACACAATCTCCTTAAAGTAGGTTTCGCCCTCGCTCCGATGTTTCAAAATTTAATGGCTTCTACTTCCCAAGATATAATGACTAATACTTGATTTGCAGTACTACAAACTCAAGTATGACAAACCAAAACTATGTTGTAACTCTCTCTTTCTCTTCCTAAGATTAAATGCAGAATAGATGCAGAAGATAGGAGGACGATAAGAGGAAGAAGAATGAAGAAATGTTGAAAAAAATTGGATGTAATGAAATGTTGGAATTGTAGGCTGTTTATAGCTAACCATGCACTTGTTGAGTAGGCCTTGGTGGCTATTCAGACATGGCCAGAAAGTTGCGAAACAGTACCGGTTTGAAAATGAGGCGACCTGAAAATTCAGAAATTCAAATTTGAAAATTTAGCGCAAAATTTGAATTATTTTCATAAGGAAAAAAAAAATTCTACCACGAATTTGAAAAAATTCAAACGAATTTTGTCCAAAAAATTAAAGTTAGGACTCGACCTAACCCACAACCCACACTATGCACTCGCTCCTATGTAGTGGTTTTGGGCCAAACCCCCATCCTTACAAAACTTGGGGTGCCCCTTGGGACCCATCCCGAGTGTGGCAAGCTAGATTATATATACTCATATAAATCCTTAAGCCTTTCCTATGTGGGATAAGCACATTTCACAAATGTATAGGAAACCTACCTAAACCTATTTCCATGAACTCGAAAATGCATGTTAAATTCTCATTCATTCGAAAATGGTTTTAAGCAACCAAATACACAATGTTATACACTACGCGACATTAAACATTAACCCAATTAGAAACATTAAAATTAACGCTTGGGTCTTACCTTAACTAATGCTCATAGTTAGCAAAAAATAAGTTTTTATAAAGTCATTTTCCAACAATCCCCTACATGAATGGAATTCACGATAAGGACATGCAACAAAATGCAAACAAATAAAAAGTATATAAAGAACATACACCACATCGAAATAAGTAACTTTTGGCTTTGAACCTCCTCTAATGAAAGCCTATCGGACTTACTGGCTCACCAGTGGATGCGATGTCTTGAACTGTTCAGCTGTTTGTGTAAACCAAGACAATAGACTATACTTAGTGTATCCGCAGACACAGTTTGGTTCTCACAGTTGTGTTCATTTTAGCCTTGAACAACACTTAGTAATTCATGAGGACCCTAGAGAATTTAGCCTTTTCAATTCTCTCATAATCGGCCCAGTTTACACTCATATAGGTGAATTCTTATTAAGAGTATCCTAACATACCTCACTTGGATGCCCAAACTATACGTGTCACGACCCAAACCCGCCCCTAAGGGGTTGTTTGGGATGATCTAAATATAGCACTTTTTGCCTTTTCATGAAATATGGGTTGGATTTGAAGTAATGTGTTAGAGAGATGATATGACTTAAATAAGATGATGAATAGAATAATGACTTTTTAACTTTTTAACTTTTTTTAAACATGTCAAACTAACCCTAAGAGTCATGACCGACCAATAATCTTAGATTACCTTCGGCCTCAAAGACAACAATGACAAAATTTCAAAATATTTAAAGAATATCGGGGCCTAAAGCGGAAGCAAAACAAAAATAATAATTTCCATTGAGCTTGTGCATGTATGATGACTAAAATAATTAAAACATTTAAACACAATAATAATTTATATACATATACAAATCCTATATATTTCA